CATACAAATCCTCATGATCTCTGCCACCCTGAGTACCGAAAGAGCTGCTGCTCTCTTTCACGAACTTGTCTTAGTCTGGTTTCTCTTTAAGAACCCCCCCCCATTATGTTGGACCTATGGTCCGGCTCCAATCATTCATTTTTTCCGCCAAATAGATTGCTTGTAAAAATTGAAAAGAAAATAAAAAAGACAATCATTGATGTATACGAATATTATAAAATATTTGAAGTTTGGGACTGAACAAATTGAGAAATTCAAAGGCAATTCTTTATATAAAATTTAAGAAAGGTGGCAAAATTGTTATGTGTACCTGCACAAGCACGAACGGCGCTTAAGTCAGCTCAGGTATGAAAAATAACGAAGATGAAGCGTTATTACTATTAAATTCGATTCTTAGAATAAAAGAATTGTAGAACCTTTCACACAATTCGATATTATTTAAATTAAAATGAATCTTTAAAATCGTTTCACATACATACAAAACAATACAGTGGAATTGAGAACCTTCTCTTTTTTTAATCTCGGTTAAAACATACTTTCAGCTTCACTTTGATGGTTAGAGCTCCCAAACTATAGGTAGATAATATTAGGGAGGTTAAGTAACTAGCAGATGTTTTAACATGTTTACATGTATGCTAAAATTGGGATTTTTGGTTAAATGGTTTTACATTTTAAATACTATTGAAACATTGCACATTATAGAAAGTTGTATAACACTGTAACAACGAAAGAAAAAAAAAGGACTTTTTATTATCATATATATCTAGAACTAATTAGTATACCAACTATCTAACAACGATACGGTGACTTAAATTACTGTTACTCTGTTACTGAGGAATACTGAGAGATGATGCTCTATCTTTTAACTACTAAGGTTTGGATTTATGTTATACCCATTCTTCTGCCAATATTTTGACCAATGCATAACCATTTTTATTGAATTAGATTTAGATGGATCTAATTTAATTTTTAAGTTTGCAAATTTCACCTTTGGTTATTGATTTAATAATTCATTAAGTTTAACTTTAAGAAGTTTTCACAAAATGAAATGAGCTTTTATACTCCATTTAAAATTATGATTGAATCATTTAAAATTATGCTTCAGGCGATGAAATTTTTTTTGGACTTTAATACATGTATCAACTAGTACAGAATGATACTTTCAAGGAACCATTATACCTACCTGAAAATACAATCGCAGACGAATGGTTAAAATCTGGATTCCCGCATAATTGAACGTGCATTTTTAAACTAAAATGTATTTTAATAGCCCAGGCAAAGAACCAAGATGACATCACTTTCCAGTAATATTTTTTTAGTAAAATGGTAAAAAGAATAGACTTGGATTTTATATAAACGGTTTTTTAATTTATCATATACCCATTTAGCGTTTTGGGTATGTTTAGTGAATCAAAACATAAGATAAATCACCTAGTTATGACATCCGCTAAATTCAAGTTTGAAAGAAACCCACCATCTTACCTGAGAAACCTAAATAATGTTTTAGATAATATGTTTTAAAACCCACTTAATCCTAGTTTAAATCGCTGCAGATTTCTAAGGTTGGATTTAAAATCCTCTAGATCTATCGGTTAGTGAGGTTAGACATCTCTAAATCGTTCTATAATAAAATCTACTAAATCCACATGAATATCTGCGTGTATAACAAAACCCAAAGTCCGACTATTGGATAGATGCGCGTTTTTATTACTATTATCCCTATTCGGCGTTATAATTTATGTGTATATGATGAAAGTTGTTCAAGCAACAGGAAAGAAACAAAGACGATGCTGAGAAAAGAATTGGATAGTTAGCTAGGTCAAATAGGGGATTAGGTATGTTATACAGGAGTTAGGTGTTTCACAACTGATCATGAAGAAAAAGACACCGCTTACAAACAGAAAAAGAATACTGAGAAAAGAACTAAGTTTAAAATAATAACCGATTAGGTATGCTGTACAGTATAATGTAGATGTGGGCACTTTCCAGTTGATCACAAAGTAGGAAGGCATCACCAGTTGTCATTAAATGATACCTAATAAAAAGAAAATATTTTTGTTTTATTAGGTTATTATTATNAATAAAAATTCAATAAAGACGAATATAAGAAATTAACTTTAACGGTGTTACCGCCACACCCACTTACATGACCATCGAAATTTCAAGCCATACGCCAGGATTTGTACAGGAAACAAAATGTACTATTTTTCAAACTGAATTATTTTAATGTAACGGTGACAGGGGGGCTGATTTCTTTAAAAGAATAATTTGAACCAATGAATCAAGACGAAAGACTTTCATCAGGAACAATGAAAATTTTTAGGCATCAGAATTTTCACCTTATAGAATCTCGAAAATTTCAAGAAAAATATTGTCTGAATGTGTTCTGTTTGCTGATGGATGATGATGATGAGCATTGATAATTGTTTCTACGAAGCACTTATTACTTATAACATTTTTCATGAAAATAATTTAAATTCTAAAAATTTACTCAAAGTAGCTACTCAAAAGATAAGCGCGAAAAAGTTTTGGACGAGTTGTCGCTTAACCTAATTGCAGCTATCAACTAGATGGAGCACAATTAGTGCTGAATGACTTTCTTGAAGAAAAATACTCTTAAGTAGGTAAAGAATTTATTAATTATTTTCAAGCATTCGAAATATTTTAGAAACCAATTAGGTTTGTGGACTAGGAAATATCTATAAAACTAAAAAGTAGAATTTAAAAGTATAAAATTAAATATGATTGCGTCAGTAGTTAATTTTGCTCATTCACTTGGGGTTATATGTTGAGATACCATTAATAGACCCTTTAAAATAATCACCCTGTGTATTTATTTTGGAGTTATAAAAATGTTACACTTTACAAGGTGTGAATTTCTTATTTTATCTTTTCGTTAAAAATCTATATTATATTGACACAAATTAATGTCCAATAAATGCTATTTTGGCCATTTGTTTCTTTATTATATATTTTCACACCAATTGTTTATTCTGCTTGATACATATGAATCCATAATAGAGCAACCAGCACAAACATAATCCTTTTCCATATGGTCATTTTGTTGATTTTGTGTAGCCAGTTCGATAAGCTTCTAATGAAATCGAAAATATTTACTGTGTGGTTTATTTTTGAGATAAGCTATTGTAATTTATTGAGTTTAACGTGTATTATTTTAAATTTTTGGTATTTTAGGATGAGTAATTACTGTACTATTGAATTCAATGCAGAAAATTGGAGGAAATTCCCTCTAAGAACTGTGACATGGATTTCTCTAGTATGTACTGTGAAAAATGTTGTGTGGGAGAAATCGAATTCAGGTATTTGCCCCTGAATATTAGAAAACACCTAAAAACGTAAAAAAAGGTACACTCGGTTTTCAAAACTGTGTGTCCATAATTTGAAATGATAAGAAATTAACCTGTCTGTCCCGGAAAGTGCTGTATACAGCTTAACAGATAACTCATTTTCTATAATAGTATTTTCTATTACAATAAAAGAAATCACTTGAGTCTGCACGATCCACAACGTTTTTTTATCCGAGCTGTTTTATTGTTTAAACTCATGTTTTATTACTTTTATAAACGATATACGACCACCATTCCAAATCATAATTTAGGAAAACGTCAATTCCCTTCCTAGTCCCAATAAATTCTTTCTGGATCCGCCCCATATTATTATATAGGGTTGTTCGGAAAGTCATTTCGTTTTTTCCCGACAGAGGATTTAATTGTATTCTTTTGCACCGAACTTCACATTTAAGCCGTATAATTTTTATATGCTTTGAGAGCTCATATAGCAAGGCTTGTGTGTGAAAAATTCCAATTAATTCTACGCAGTAGTTTTTGGTTGGTGCCCTTTTAAATATGGAGAGCGATAAGCAGCATTTTCGACATATCTTACTGTTTTACTACAGAAAGGGTAAAAATGCTGTTCAAGCCAGAAAAAAATTGACTGATGTGTATGGAGAAGGTGTGTTGACAGTACGCCAGTGCCAGAACTGGTTCGCTAAATTTCGATCCGGCAATTTCGATGTCGAAGATGCACCACGTTCGGGAAGGCCGGTTGAAGCTGATAAAGAAGCGATAAAGGCATTAGTTGATGTGAACCGGCGAATAACAACACGTGAGATCGGATTGAGGTTAAATTTATCAAATTCAACAGTTTATGGCCACTTGAAAGGCCTGGGATTATCCTCGAAGCTCGATGTATGGGTTCCCCATGTTCTCATAGAGAGAAATCTGTGTCGCCGCATTGACGTCTGCGATTCGCTTCTCAAACGTCACGAAAATGATCCGTTTTTGAAGGGCATCATCACTGGGGACAAAAAATGGGTTGTATACAACAACGTCAAACGCAAGAGGTCATGGAGCAAAAAAGATGAACCGGCTCAAACCATTTCCAAAGCCGATATTCACCAAAAAAAGGTGATGCTGTCTGTTTGGTGGGATTTTAAAGGAATCGTTTTTTTTTAGCTTTTACCGGATAACACAACGATTAATTCGGAAGTCTACTGTCATCAGCTGGACAAACTGAATGATGCACTTCAACAGAAAAGGTCAGAACTAATCAACAGGAAAGGTGTAGTGTTTCACCAAGACAACGCGAGACTTCACACAAGTTTGGTCACTCGCCAAAAGCTTTTACAGCTTGAATGGGATACAATGCTGCACCCACCATATTCTCCAGACCTGGCACCATCGGATTGTTATTTGTTCCGGTCACTCTAAAATTTTTTAGACGGTAAAACCTTCACCTCAAATGAGGAGGTCAAAAACCTCCTCGATCAGTTTTTTGCCAGCAAAGACCATAAATTTTATGAGCGTGGAATTATGCTACTACCAGAAAGATGGCAAAAGATGTTGGACCAGAACGGTCAATATATAATTTAATAAAGTATTTGTTTATTATACGAAAACTGTCTTTCATTTCCTCAAAAAAAAAACGAAATGACTTTCCGAACAACCCTATATATATTATATGTATAATTTTCACAATACCTTTCGAACTTTTAATGCTGTGCAAGAGTGAGTGCCATTGATGCAACACTTGAGCGAGATGATCTAAACCTCCATGGTGAAAATGAAGAATTTTATATTGAGATTCCCTCGAAGCAACAACCACCTGCCCTGATGTGCAGCTTGAGTCGTTAAAGAAAAGCCTTAAAGATCTCATTTGGCTTAGATCAACGCTGAACGTTCGACATCTGTGGGGTTGTTTTCTAGGCAATATTGGAGAGCAACCGTTACTTTCAGGAAACGTCAAATTGTGTTTCTGTGCCAAGAATTCTGGAGTGGTCATCCAATTGTAGTTATAGTTATCACACGAACTAAGCGATTCAGTTCTTGAAAAGGACCGTTCAATACTATCACTAAAATCTTTAACACTTTCCGGGGTACTAACAATTTCTATTACCGGATTCGCTATTTCGACGTTTATGTTTATTATCTCTTTGCTTTTGTCGTTGTCTTCAGATGATAGGGATTCGCTGGTTTCCTGTCGGTGTTCGTAATTAAGGAATGGATTTGTACTTTTTATATCAGGAGATTTGTTGATAGTCTTTTCCGAACACATGCTGAAGTCCGAAATGTTCGAATCTGTGGAGCTAAGACTGTCCAGACTTACTTGTTTTTGGGTTCTTAAGTAGCCGGTACCACAATTTTGTAAAGTGCTAGGACATTTTCGGAGGGTGCTGTTTGGTATCCAGGTCATCATTAAAGTTGGTCTCTTTGCTTCGTTATACTGGTCCACGAAGACTTTTGTAACTATTGATAGGTACCCAGGATGATGAACGACATCAGTATCGTGGCGAGCCATTGCCGGAGGATGTACACATACGTTGTTTTTGCAGAACAGAATTTCATTATCTTCGTAATTTGTTAATGTTTTCTCTGTATCTGCTCCAAGGATATATGTGGAAGCCCTCTTTATAATATTAACAAGAGGCATTTCTTCTCTTCTTTTAATTGTCAAATGTACACCCGAATTATTGAAATCTTTATTAAAGTGGGAAAAGCATACCTTTAAAGATTCCGGTTTGGGAATATAGTTTACAATTTCATTTTCTTCACCGCTTTGTTTTCTTTGTCGGTTTGTAGTTAACGGAAAATGTTAAGATCTTATGCAGTATGCAATTTTGAACGAACCGATTGAAGTTTTTGTGATATATCACCGCCACAAATTCACAACACTACTAAAAAATACAACAAACAATAATGCACGTAAATTTAACCGATTTTTGACCTAAATGCGTAATTTTGCATGTCAGTAATTCCGCGCGACTGTTGATAACGCAGCATAAACGGTGTGTTTTCTGTTCGCCTCCATCGTGAAAGCTATTATTGATCTCTTCTTTATATCTCTCTCGCACTTGCTTGTTTCCATTCTGCTTATCAGCGTATAACTCGATAATGCACGCTGCTTTAGGAATTCGTGACGTAACGTTACTCTATTTCTGACATTTAAATTTTGTGCTCAATTATAGCAGCAAAACAGTTCTCTATTATTTTGATAAACAACTATTTATTAGAAACCTGTAATACGAACAGAATGTTTTCACAGTAAACTATAATAGTACAACATTCTTAATGAAATCTGTTTCATAATGTATCTCTAAAGAAGTTGAAACTTGTAAATGTTTTCTATTAAAGAATTGGTCGCACTAATTTTTGTGTAATTAAAAAATAAGTTTGAAACAAATAGCTGGGTATATATGCCTATTGCATTTGAACGAAAGGTGTCTCCACTGGTTCGAAACACTTCTAAAATGTAATTATTTTTTTTAAGTCATAAAACGCTAAAGTACCAACTGCCAAGAATGACAAATATGAACTAACTAACTAACTAGAAATGATTTATAAAGATATAATCGTGAGGTAATGAACCTTCCAATGTGAAAGAGGCCGGCTTTATAGCTATCATATCGTACATCTAAACATTGACTTACCTGCCTGTTATTCTATTAATTTTAACCAAGAATCTTACTTTACAACCAGAAATAAACGGTGAAAAGTAATCCCTAATGGTGGAATGTAGAAATCAGTGGAGTACTGTCGTTGAATTACGGAAGGTTAAGGTTCATGTCATTCCAAATCACCTCTACATCTATTTTATGTATATAGAATGCCGAATGTCTCACAGCAAACTAAAGGTATATTAGAAAACCAATACCATCTTAAATCTGAAAGTCTGCATTAATGTTTTAATTTTGACTCTTTATTAGACAAAATACCCATTGTGAAAACGTAAGCAAGTTTAAAGTGATAAGGCTATTATTGTTTCGATAGGCTCCATTATCTTAATATCTTATAACTTTTTAAACGAATTTATTTAATGTGATATCTACTCAACAGTCAAGGCGAACTTTTCACTCACCTTTTCTCAAATTGCTTGATCTGAAAATTCAGCTGCAGAATAGGACTCCTCATTCATTTAATAATATTGACCTAACTCCAAAACTAATGTAATGAAGGTAAATACTTGAAATCATTTTTAGTTACAGTGCTCGTCACCTTCAACTAACAGGATTTCTTCCAAAGTTGGTAATAACCTTGCTTGAAAATAGTATGAGAGATATAAATATATTTGAATTCGCAAACTAGTAGACCCTTTTATTTGAAGTGATAATTTTCGTTTTAATTTTGTTCTACATAAGGTAGTAGGAACGCAAGTATTTATAAAAACTGCAGGTATAAGGCTATAGAGTATTATTTCGCAAATGGGATATAGTGTCAAAAAAATTCTAAGAAAACTTGATAATTTTATTTTTCAGAACCTGTTCAATAACACTTCACTTGAGGGTATGTGTAAAAAAATCATCATGTAACGGAGTATCTGGAATTTTTGTTCGGTCTGTATGTTAAACCCCATCACACTCTTACTTAAAGGACTTTAATTAAAATGAAATGTGAAATACGGATATAGAATGATGGCCCAAAAAGCTGTACTCAAAATTTCATTTTTCACCTGCCCCATTTAGTGGGATGTCATTAGATACGTTTCACAAACTACAACATAAATTGATCTTTTACATTTAGTCAATCAGTCAAGATAAATTTGCCATCGATGTCGTTACCAAAATTGGCCCTCTTTAATATCCGAACTGTCGATGTAAAATAAGTGATACCAACACCAGGGCCGGCCTTAGCCGTGTAGGCGTCCCGGACGAGTCATGCCTTTGGCGTCATTTTAGCTATACTTATTTCATTACAGAAGTGTTTCCCGTTATTTTAAGCTCATTCGCTCTACCTACGGGACTTCCCCGACTAGAAAATGTAAAGAGATTTTTAAACGAGACTAAACGGACGTACTAATGGTACCTATTATACTAATTTCATTGCTAACCCAAGTGTGTCATTTTCAAACACTTCACATGTGTGAATGCTTGTAGACAGTTTTTAAACGTCTACAAGTATGTAAAGTAAATTATTTACTAAATGTGTGTGATTTTCACATTGATAAACATATGTAATTTTCACTAGAGTGAAAATAAATCATGAAATACAATATATCAAATATTAATCTGGAAATTCATTTTCCATTTATGCTAAGAACTATAAGTTACCTCAAGTTAATGAAGAAAAATTTGTTGTTGTTGACACACCCTCGCCGGGAATTGAATAGCCAAAGGTCCCGGGTTCGATTCCCGGCGAGGGTGTGCCAACAACAACAAATTTTTCTTCATTAACTTAAGGTAACTTATAGTTGGTTTAAATGGAAAATGAATTTTCACATTAATATTTGATATATTAACCACTATTAAACAAAATAAGAAAGTGTTTCATGTATATAGTACNATTATACTTTCAATTTATGAATTTTTTTTTTGCTTAAGTATTCATTTTTTTTTATAAAGAAATTTTTGAACTATACTGGTCTTTTTGACTTACTATATTAGCATGTGACCAATTACCTTTGAGCCATTTTATTTGTTGTCAAACGTAATTCTGAGCAATAGACACACATTATACACACTATATTTATGTTAATTTGTAATTGTTATGATTAATCAGAAGTGTGAATATTTTTCATATATGATTTTAACTAAATGTATGAACTGTTGAAATGTAAATGATTTTCGTACCCTTCAAATGTAATTTAATTTTATGTTTGATTTTTTTCACACACACATTTAGTATTTGAATGCTAAATGCTAATGTGCGTACGTAAAGACACCACCAACTCCTATCAACTTCCCGTTGGGGTGGTAAATACACCTTAGTCTCCTGCTAAAAGCGAGGGAGTTTGGACGCGGTGGGTGGAAGTGGGTGGCGAAAATGTAAAAAAATATATATCTGTCCTTTTCTAACTTATGAGACCTTTTGGAAAGTTCTAAAAATGTGTGCAACTGTTTCAATTGATTTAGAATGTTCTAAAAATTTATGGAATGATCTAGAAAGTTCCAAATTGTGTGCAACTGTTAAAATTGATATGGAATGTTCCAGAAAGTTCTAGAAATATCTGGAATGATCTGGAAAGTTCCAAATTGTGTGCAACTGTTAAAATCGATAAGGAATGTTCCAGAAACTTCTAGAAATATCTGGAAAGTTCCAAATGTCCGCAATTAATTATCAAGGATTTTTAGAATTTTCTAGATTTTGTCCAAATATTCTAGAACAATCTACTATTAATAAGAAATTTATTAAGGTACAGGGTGGTCTGTCATTATCGGGAATAATTTTGTGTTGTGCAAAATTCTAGAACGATCGAAAACATTTAAAGGTACAGGGCGGTCTGTCATTATCGGGAATAATTTTGTGTTCTGCAACATTCTAGAACGATCGAACACATTAAAAAATAAAGGACAATCTGTCACTGTTAAGAATAATCTTGAATATTTTGGTACTAGAAATTTCGATGTATTATGATATATAAACCGAAATTCAGTGACTTTTCGTCAGTTTGGTCGTGTTTGCAGTCAAATAATGATCAATTGAAGTTGACAGTGAACAGTTTCAAGTGATTTTGACAAATGAAAAAGAATATCTACGTTAAAAAGTGAATATTTTATGTACCATTAAACATGCGATGTATTTTAACCCGAGCAACGCCGGGTTTCACTGCTAGTAAAATATGTATTTAAAAAGTGTGAAATTATGGAAATAAAAATATCAAAATTTATATATGCGTTGTTCAAAAGCAAATTCTGGTAACTTACCAAACATTTGTGTGATGTATGAAATTCACACACCTAATCACACACTTGGGTTTGCAGTGTTAGCTACCACGCAAATAATAAATAAATAATTCGTAGATAAGTTATTGATAACGTACAAGTTTTCTAAAAAGGTTTTTTGGTTTTCTTGTGAACTTACATGCAAAAAGCAAAGAACGAAAAGTATCTGTAATGCAGGAGGTCTAATACGAATTGCAGTTTCTCGCTTGTTGTTTCTATTTCGTTCTACACTTTTTAGTGAGAAGTACGACATGCGACAAAATGACCAGTCGTGTTTGTTGGACATAGAATACTTATACTCACTCTTACGAGATAAGTCTATAAAAGTTATTACGCTGAATCTAGTTTTTCTTTTGACCCCCCGTACTACCTGGCGCCCCGAGCAGCAGCCCCGGTCGCCCCCCACCCGTAAAGCCGGCTCTGATCAAGACCATACCTGCTTAAGAAAACGACCACACTAATTGTAAGACAAAAATAAATCAAGTATAAAGCAGCCTAAATAATGCTTCATGTTTGGGCTTGATGACTGTGGTTAAGGAGTGTTCATCCTCCTTGGATCCGATGCTTTGTCAACCTCTCTCAGGAAACGTAGCGAGGGTATAAAGTTTTTCACTGCGGTTATATTGAGACCGACATAACTCTCAGGACAGTCACCCTGAGGATGTAAACTGAAGTAGTTGGCGAAACGTCAGATCAATCAATTGGTGTTTTCACTGATGTGGAAAAAATTCTATACCTTATGACCACCAAGTCGAAATGTCAGGTATTATACATTACTGCCGGCTGTGTAAGTCTAATTATGCAGTTAGTCTAAAACAATTTATATTTTTAAAAGAAGGGTGTGGCGTACATGATGATTTAGTCAATTACTTAAAAAACACTCTGTTGGTGCTTAAAATCTTGGAGAGAGTGCGTGACGTGACTGGTATTGTATACTTCGTTTAGTTTCTGTAGCGATGTGATCTTCAGTTTGACCGGCGCAAAGTAGAAAATAACAGCACTAGGCCAGAAAAGAAAGGAGACAACTCTCGGTCAAACTCTTAACCGGTGAGGAGCGTATAATTCGTACAGCACTGCACGGAAAAATTGACCATTTTATCCACTACAATTGCATTGCTCAAATGAGCTGTTATTGGTACTACTGAAAATATTATTGATATTTGAAGACATATTAAAGGCTTTAATGCTTGTTTTCAACTCGCACTACTATTCATGATTGAAGAAAACTTTTGGCAGGTACTGTATGAAAAAGTATGTTTAATAAACAAGAGTCGAGAGTATAATGAGCTTTTTCCTCCCTGTCTACGATTTTGCCAGCGCGCATCCAAGACATTGGATGGGGCACATCGTTAGAGAAAGTAAATGAAGTATAGCAGATAGCCGAGCTATGCGCATCCGTTGGCGTTTCAGTTGGGAGATTCAAAACAAATCTAAAAACAAAGTTCCTATAGGAGAATTTGTGTAAATTCAACAAAAATTAACATTAAACGGGCAAGGAGAATTTTGGACAATACCATAACCGTCTAATAAATATTACGAAGATTGAATACAATCAAGCGATTGATAAAAACCGACCGCTGGACGTAGGTTAAACGTGGTCGTTGCAAGCCCCTACAGTATTGTGACGTGATGTTACTGAAAGTCCACCCCGAGCGAGCCGAGAATTTATCGATTTTCAATGTCATTTTTAACGAAAAGTCATGTCCTAACCCAGTTTTGTCAATCTTAAGTTTTCACATACTTTTCGTCGAATGAAGAGAGATTTTGTCAAATTTAAACATAATGAAGTGACTATGGAAAAATAAAAAATTATCCAACAGAAGTGCTGATTTTTTACTAAGAATATAATAATTGTACAAACGTTGTACATTGCACGCTAAGTTAATATTGTGCAACTAGTTATTTAGATCGTGATTTCGTTGAAGAATAAAAATTGACTTTTTTAATTTAAAACATTTACTTGAACTTCTATTCTATCAATAAAACTAAATTTCAACGTCTAATTTAAAGAAAATACCACAAATGCCGCTATAAACGCCATCTGTGGTACGATGCTACATTTCAAAATTACGTATGCTCCAACAAGGTCCATTTAAATATAGATATATTTAAATATATGGATATCTACTTGCTAAAACGAATCCCGACGTAGCTAACCTCAACGTGATAGGCACATTACCATAATCGAATAAAATAATTCGAAGTAGTCTGTAGTCAATCGAAACTGCCAGATGCGGATCGCAATTTCGATCTTTTTGGATCTCATCAGCGCGTCACAGACAGCTCCGACAGAACACAGATCAACTTTTACCTGCTGTCTTAACAGCGCGTTTTAGAAAATACCACAAATGGTGCGGTAAATGCCATCTGTGGTACGACGCTACATTTTAGGATTTTTGTATGCACCAACAAGGTCCATTTAAATATATGGATATCTATTTGCTGAAACGAATCTTGGCGTAGCTAACTTCAACGTGATAGGCACATTACCATAATCGAATTCCAAATATTCTGTCGGTTATGGTAATGTGCCTATCACGTTGAGGTTAGGTACAACGGGATTCGTTTCAGCTAAGACAGCAGGAAAAAGTTGAGCTGTGTTCTGTCGGAGCTGTCTGCGAAGCGCTGATGAGATCCAAAAATATCGAAATCGCGATCCGCTTCTGGCAGTTTCGACGGAATACAGACCACTTCGAATTATTTTAGTCTAATCGTCCGACAGATTACTAGATCAAAACTGACTTCTTGGAGATTTGAAATCTGAATGTGAATTCTTAATGTTACCATGCAACTCTATCTATAAACATGTAACCCTGCTTTCACACAGACGGTTTTCTAACGGCAACCGTGCCGTGCCGTGCCGTAATTTCATTTTGCTTTGCGTTCACACTGCACACGGTTTTTCACGGTTTAGTTTTGTTTTGATACATGACCAAAATGGACGAAAGAAAAAAACGCATGTTGTTACTAATGATATGGCATAATCGCAGAAAAACACAAAAAACAAGACGATTTTGGATTCATCCACTACTTGAAAACAGACAATTGATGGGTGAATTTGTAACATTATTTCATGAACTACGAGAGGATAGCTCCAAATTTTTTAATTATTTTCGAATGTCCATTAGGAGTTTCGATGAATTATGCGTAAAATTGCAAGATGATTTAAAAAGTAGTAATAGTCATCAAAATTAATTGACAATGATTACGCTTTATTTAATATCAAGAGGGAAATAAAAAAAAATTGAGTATCAATCAGAAAACAATCTATCAGAAATAGAAAAAGGTTTTCCTGTCTGTTATGTAACGCTTTGATACCGAAAGAAATCAAATTATTAAAGTTTTCACTGTCTAGCTTATAAGAGATAAAAGAAGATTGTAATATATATCTGTACAAAACCTTGTTTCTTCAAAAATATCCGAGAAAATTTAAATGCTCGTATTCAATATATCCTTTGTATTATCTTCCCCAATGATATATTATTAAGAAAGGAGGTAAATTTTTCTTAATTATATAATCTCTACCGATGCTTGGAGTAAGATTTTTACCTTGATAAAGACACTGTTCCAAATATTTTCACAGAGAATAATAATAATAATAGAAAGACAGATACAAAAGAATTCGAGTAGAAATATTTACAAAAGGGTGCAATATAATGTTTAGTCAAATATATGTTTAAAATTAAATATAGCGGTGTTATTATCCGTCACACTATATAATTTCTTCTGTTAACTGCACAATTCAGAAAGAAAAACGATCCTGAAAACAATTTTTGCCGTGTGAACACACGGCACGTGTGAATACTTCTATACACTTGCTTGTCTCACTGTTGCCGTGCCGTTGCAGTCCCCATGCCGTGCTGCGAAGGCAGCCGTGCACGGCTACGGCAGCAAACCGTGCTGTGTGAACGCTTGCATATAAACCAATGTATTACTATTATACACGGCACGGTTGCCGTGGACGGCCACGGTAAAAAACCGTCTGTGTGAAAGCAGGGTAAACTGGTGAATAACTAGAACTGAATATAAGAAGAAATATGGAAAGCCCTATCATTAAATACCAGCACAATCGCTATACAAGATTCCTGTGCAGTTTATAAGGGTTCTTGTGAATACCCATGTAAAATGAAAACTAGTCCTGTTGTCACTAACTTACTATTTAACATTACAAATATAAATTTAATTTGAAAATATTTTATGTACAAAAAAGGAGAAAAACTTAGGACTTAACAATAATACTTCTACGTAATTCCAATTTTAAAGGAATAAGAGGGTAGGGTAAGAATTAGGGTTAATTAATTGTCCAAATATTAAATATTTGAATTGCCTTATTGAAATACCGAAGAAGGTTGAAAGAGGATATTTGAGTGTAATGTTACACACTACACGTTTATACACATATCCGCGTTTACACATTTGGTAAAACGTGGCGCAGGAATAAAGTTAAATGCAGTCGTCGCAGATGTGAGAGTCCTATTGTCCATCGTCTCTAGAGCCACCTAGAATCGGATATCCTGATCGAATTAGGGACAGTTGAACTTATTGCTTGGGGACCCCGTTCTGCAGGAAACAAATTGGAATCGTCTTTTTCCTATAATCAACATAACTTTTCAGAAGTTCGCATTTAGGTTTTTATTTACATAGGTATCATGTTGCCGAATAATATTGTTTAAAGATAATGTTAATTTCGAATGTTGATAAAGATATTTCACTAAAAGTTTCATAATTCTATACAAGATGATGTTAGATGGACTATAACTTAACTTCTCGTTTCTTTTGTTTATACAACAATTGTTAATTATATATATTTAACTGTTTCACAGTAAACTATAATAGTACAACATTCTTAATGAAATCTGTTTCATAATGTATCTCTAAAGAAGTTGAAACTTGTAAATGTTTTCTATTAAAGAATTGGTCGCACTAATTTTTGTGTAATTAAAAAATAAGTTTGAAACAAATAGCTGGGTATATATGCCTATTGCATTTGNTTTAATAAAAATTGCTACATTTTTTCTTTATATTTTCTACAAAATTTATTTAATCTTACTAAGTAGGTACAATTTGTAATGAAATTCACGACGTTGTTGTCGTAAATATTTCATCTAATTGTAAGGAATTTGTCTGAGCCCCTGTCGAGATTTCTCCTATAATTTACCACTACAATTTTATTGTCAAATTTAAGTTTACCGTTAGTTTACCTTAGTTACCTTACTACAAGTTTGAGTTGCATTTTCTACAAAACAAAAGTATTTTT